GCGCGAACCGGCCTCAGAAGGGCTCTGCTCACCAATCGCGGTCATCCAATCCACATATGTATCGACAACACCAGCGTTATACAAGGCATCCGCGGCAAGGCGCCGGACTCGTCACAAGACGCGTTCCTCGAAATCCAAGAAGCGGCCAGGATATTTGATATACGGACGCACTGGTCCCCGGGACACCAGGGCATCGAAGGAAACGAGGCCGCGGACCGGCTGGCCAAAGAAGGAACGACACTGCCGGCGCGGATGGGTCAAATGGCAACACTAGCGGGCATCAAGCGGCTTGCAAGGGAAAAATTACAAAGCCAGCACAGGAGATGGTGGTATAAAGAGCGAAGGCCGCGGTACGCGGACTTGGGGCTTGAGGCAGCTCTGTCCAGCCCTCCTGAACTGGCCTTGCCGCGGGCTACGTTACATCACCTGCTGGCGGCACGATCGGGTCACGGGGACTTCGAGCAATATCACCGACGTTTCAACCACGACGACGCTCTAATGATGTGCTCTTGTGGAGAGGCGAAAGACGTGGACCACCTGGTCTACTGTCGACTAACGCTGGCGAGGAGGCAACGGTGGCCGACCCTCCACTCTCGCAGTATGCCCGAGCCCATAGGTCCTATGGGATCTCTCGAGGCCTACTTCAAGAGATTAATCACCGACCCACGAGGCTTCGAGGCCTTTCTCCGCGTGACGGACTTCTTCCAGAAGATCTGTCTGCGGTAGCAGCATCCACACCTAGGTAGATGTGAGTGCGGACTACAAAGAACCTCCCGATTCCAAGGGACGATTTGGGAAAGAATGAAACTGGGGCACCAGCGGGAACCGGGGACAGACAGAACGCGTAGTGGCCACAAGGCATGATTTGGAGGACGATGTAAAGAGACGACGTACTGTAGAGTAGGTAGCCTTGGCTCACGGCCCTCCACGCCATATACCCTTCGGGAGGTCTGCGGTAAGGGCTCTAGCCCGGCCGCCACGGCGTTAAATACAACAACAACAACAACAACAACAACAACTTGTGCAGTGTATCCGTAACGGTTCAGTCAGTGACCGAATGCGCCATGCCGAAGATCTTGATTATCAACCATTGAAAGAAGGCCTCTCGTATCTATCTACAGATTCTCAGGGAACTTGACGCTTAGTCTCTCCCTCCTTCAAAGCCAGTCAATCACCTTGAGCAATCAATTCATAACACATACTGCAACCACCTTCAACTCTCGTCAAGAAATCTGAGGTATCACTACCTACGCCCATATGCTTGTCAGCAATAATCAAGCAGGCTAGGACGGGCTGAGGTTTGGGTTCGCCGCAATGCATGCAGAACCTCAGTTGCAGAGCACCACTTCCTGACTGGAACCCTGTCATCTTGTTGGACAACGTGCATCTAGTCTCCCCATTGGCAACACCCAGCAAATGGCTCTCGGCGAACTTGCTGCACGTGGGATTAATCTGCTACGCTAAGCCGGGATCAATTCCGTGTTCTGCATCTCACGTCTCCATATCCCGTCCTCCCAACAGCAGCACCTCCGAACGTCCGATGCGTTGATGCGGCGTAGCAAAATGGTATCTATGTCCTACTTAAGAACTCATCTACGAATGCCAATTACCTTGGACTCTTTTGTTGCCCTCGTCATCTCAGTTCGCATTACCAGCTCATTAGTGGCGATTGGCAAAGGCTTGCATCTTTTTATTCTCCATTGCCACCAATACTACCGGCACCAAAGGTCAAGATGTCATCACTCATCGGAGTCGCTCTTGGCATTCTGTCACTGGTGTCAGCAACAATCCTACCTACCGGCAACAGGACAACTATCATCGAGAGAGATGTTGTGATTCTAGGCGGAGGTGCTTCTGGAGCTCACGCAGCCGTGAGACTCCGCGAAGACTATAACAAGACAATCGTCGTCGTGGAGAAACAGGACCGCATTGTAAGTGAGAATCAACTAGATCTGAGAAGAGTGAAGAGCCTAATTTACACTCAGGGCGGTCACGTCGCAACCTTCACAGATCCCGAAACTGGAAATCCATTTGACTTTGGTGTAAACTCGTATACAGATTACGGCGGCGCCCGCGACTTCTTCGCCCGCTTCAATATTTCTGTGCAGACTCCAGTCAGGCAGGTACTGACGACCACGTATGCCGACTTCAGCACAGGAAAGACTACCAACTACTCCTTACCGGCTTCCGCGGACGCTACAGCTGCCCTGAAGGCTTATCTCGAGCAGTGTGAGAAGTACGAATCGTACATTCTTCCCTCCTATGCGAACTTCCCAAAGACAACCGTTGGTGTTCCTGAAGACCTTACCCTCAAGTTCTCCGACTTCGTCAAGAAACACAATCTTCAGGCGGCTGTTCCTCGTATCTTCCAAACCACCGGCCTTGGTCTGGGCAATATCGCCGACCAGACAACGTTGTACGTCATGCAGGGCTTCGGCGCACCCATCACTCGGTCATTCCTGGGCACGGTGGGTTCCTTCGTGCCTGTGTCCAGGCGCAACCAAGACATTTACGATGCCGTTGCAGACCTCCTCGGCGACGATGTCCTCTACTCGTCCACAGCTATCAAGACCTCCCGTACCGAGGACGGCGTGGAGGTTCTTGTCCATGGTCCCGACAATAAGCAAACACTGATCCGGGCCAAGAAGCTTCTCATCTCTTTTGAGCCTACGATCGCCAACTTTGACGGCATTGATATCAGCGACGAGGAGGCGACTGTCTTCTCAAGTTGGGAGTGGACCACCGTCCACGCCGGCATCGTCTCTCACCCTTCCCTGCCCATCAGCTACTCCCTCACGAACAACGTTCCTACAAACTGGATCTCCCTTCCTAAGACTCCCTTCGTTGGGCGCTTCGATTACCTCGGCGACGACAACTTTCGCGTGCTCATCACCGGCTCCTCCGATTACGATAGCACTCAGGCGCAAGCGCTGGTCAGGAAATCCCTCAGGTTGCTAGCTGACGCTGGCACGATCCCGAGCCTCGGTGCCGAGCAGCTCAATGTGAAAGCCTGGGCTAATCATGGTGCCGTGAGTCTGCGTGTGCCTGGCGCTGAGCTAGCAGCTGGACATATTACCGAGCAGTACGCTCTTCAGGGTCGGAGAAGCACATACTACACGGGGGCTGCGTGGTCTGCCCAGTTCACCACCATCTTGTGGGAGTACAACAACCAGTATCTCCTACCAAAGCTGCTGGCAGAGTTTTAAAATGTTATGATGCCGCTTCGAAGGGCTGGTGATGAGGAACATCCAGCAATTACCTTATACCAGCAAATGATGGATAATATCGTTATCAAGAAGGGCCAAGGTCGGAGAGACAACACTTAAGCTATTATTCCATCTCGTTGTTCTGAACGTCAACATAGAGTAGGCAGTGCAAACTCCAGGGCTGGGTGGCAATCGAGTCTCTCCGATGCTGCAAACTTCCATGAGTCTCGTCACAGCAACAGAGTGAACCAATCACGAACCGGTGGGAATGTTTGCACGCCTCGAACTGATCCGCGGAGTCCGCCGATCTAACAAGCCCGCAATACCCGGAAGCTCGCCTCTTTCTACAGCCCATCTGTTTTCTGATGTGGAATCTGCTAAATTTGCTAGGTCGGAGACATGCTTTAACGGGATCGCGTCCCGGGAATCCCTGATGTTACTGCAAGGAACGAGCCCCAGCTGCATTGCATCGGGCTGGGACCTCACTCCGCCCGCTGACAAGGGCCCCTGATCCAGGACCTTGTCAACAAAAGCGCCATTTTCGGCCTTAGGATAACAGAATATCATCCCATCGGAACGCGATCGCAAAAACGACTTGATGGTACGGGATTTTGTCTCATCCGTCGGACCGCCCTCGAACATTGTCAGGTGATGAAGATGTATGTTTGGATTTCAAGATGGTCTTTGCTGGCCTGGAGATAGTCACGAGTGAAGCGCCTTGAGCGAACATTGAGAACTTGGAACGAAGAGAGGCTAGTCAGTCTACGTATGCGGCCTGACACGTACATGTGTACATGTTGTTCACTGCATGTACAATCAGACGCTGAAAAATATCTGTCTTTTATGCCGCTCGTGGACGATTAGAAATGCTAGTCAAGATGTTCAGATCTCCTGGCAAATTCCGTAGTCTTGATGATCCCATGTAAGTTGCTTGAATGGACTTGTATCGCGGTTTCTTCTTCTATGCGCAAGGCCTTGCTGAGATCATACTCGCTGAGCATTATGCCTGCTGGAGGTTGCACGGTATGAAGTCTGATCTCACCCGCTTGTGTGCCGTATCGTGGATCCAAGACCCATTCATCGAGTTCGTACTGATCGCTTCTGGTTGTCCCGTCACTACGGCTGCGGAAGGTATCGTACTCGAGCGTTCTCGGTCCAGAGCCTGTCTGTTGCGACCGCTTGCCACATGCGTCTGGAATATGCTGATTATATGCTGATAGGTTGAGTAACTTGTTGACAAGAGGTTTCAAAGCCGGTGCGCATGCCGCGATGATACCGACCTGCAACTGTAGGCTAGTTGCGAAAGCATTGTTAGCTTCGAGCCGCCGAGCTTTCAGTAATCGTACCTACAAGCCCCAGAATTGGATACTTCTTTTGAAAGTTTTGTCAGGCTCGCTGTCGTTGTTGAGCTGGTAAACTGCTTTGATTATGCCCATCGCGACAGCACTTGGGGTTTCATTAGTCACGGGAGTCAACTTTTGACTCTGAATCATTTGATACTCACAAGTACCCTAAACTCAAGATTCCAATTGCGTAGAGGCGTAGTCTACGTTTCATCTGCAAATTCCATATGATTGGCACAGGCAGGGTGGCTAGCACTACGTCCGTGAAGATATTAAATCCTGCAAGTGACTGAGCGGTGATCTCATGGCATCCCAGTGAAACGGCATCGGAACCTGACTTACCTGTGTTGATGATACCAAAGAGGTTGATGTTATTGCCATCCTTACACTTGGGAGGCGGTGTTGTGTTCCTGTCCCAAAATCCTGACATGGGTTTGCAGTGGAGAAAGAATGGAAACATGCCGCCAATCGAGTAGAAGAAGACGAGCGCTTAGTTGAGTTGTCAGTCATCGATGGAGGACTTTGATGGCTGTGGCAAACCTACCAATCGTTGACCATAACGCCCACTTGTACCATCCAGTCTTACTCAAGCGCAAGAGACTAAGTGTGATGGAAACCTTGAGAAACATGAGAGCGCCGGCGGCGGAGATGATGGACTGCCAAAAGGCAACGTGATTGAACACGACGTAGTCATATTTCTTGTCGATAGTCAAGAAGTGCTTGCCAAGACCGTACTGTGCCTGAATCACGAATGCGATCCATCCTCCCCAGGCACAGAGCTACAAACTCGACCAAGTCAGTCTCTACGAGCAGCAAAACTGGGACTTCGATGCAGTGGTACTTGCCGCCGATAAGACCATGACCGCATCGTCCCACCCAGGCGCCTTGATGACCCATATTCTGGCGTATATCCGCAGCGCAACGCTCAACTGCGCCAGGAGATGGAAGACAGTGACGATGGCGATGATGCGCGCGGTGTTGCTCTCAGCGGCCCATGCCGGATCCAGGGGCGTGGGAGCCGTTCCGTTTGTGTTGTTCATGTCTGCCCATCATAGGTCGTCACGAGTGGTGTCCGCTGCAGATTGTCAAGATGGCGACAACCAGTAGAAAAGGTCTGCTGGGAAGCAGCATGGTCTGTGTGTGTTGGAGTGCCGACGGCAACTATCGTATTCATTCAATCAGTGAAGCGAACGCGAGTTGGTTCAAAGAAACTTTGAAGGTGAGGAAACTTTGAACTATTTGCGGCAATGTTCAACAAGCGGCGGTAGTTAAAACTGGCTGGGAACCCTTTTAGAGTTGGATGTAATAGCCTATTCAAACTCCAAACCGGAGAATTTTCTAATTCATGGATCAGGCTGTGTAAGGTAGCGAGGGTTCGAGAGGCAAGTTGAGTCAGATGCGTCACATAGTCGTTGTCTCTCTGGGTTTCAATGAGTTGGGTTAGCATGCGCATTTTGTCAATGTTGCACAAGTTTGGACTCATTCAAAGAAGAAATTCGATTTCATTCATTGTTTTTCCGTCAGGTCTAACTCCATAGCAGGCTGCACATTGGTTATTGTGAATACCTTGAGCGGGTGATCGAACCGGGCTGCCTTAATATAGGAGAGGGAGTTTGACGTGATGCCCTCTTAGAGTTAGACGCGCGACCTTCTTATCAAGAAGCACCTTCCGGTGTAGTCGATGGCCGAGCGGTATGATTCTCGACCTGAGTGGTGAGAGCGTGTGTTGGATCACGGTCCTACATAATGCCATGGACAGCTTCTTTTTTGAACATTCCTCATCATAGTAATTTGGTGTAGAGCAATGTTACTACGTGTTACCTGCGTATTCATATTTGTAACTTTTTTAATGGAATACGAGGACACTTTGAGAAGGTAGCGAGTTCAAGTCAAGGTTTCATTTCCTTTTTTGCCCTCTCCCTCTACGGGAAGAGAGACAGTGGGAATATCAAGTGATTCAGGCTTCCAGCATCAACAGCGTCAAGTGCACACTGAGGCAGTCATCAGACAATTATGAGACGAGTTCCCCGACTACTTGTCACCTTTGTCATGCAATTGGATAATATCACATGTAATCTTGTCAATCATATTATGGTAATGTGCTGTGGACAATATGTACATCAGAAGCAGACGAAACCCAAGAAAGAGACATTATACACAAGTCCAGCTATCAGGAGAGTTTGGGTCTCCGGACTTGTACACGTTACGCGTGGGGTACTTGCAGTGCTTCCTCGTGAAAGCAACCTGGCCGCCCTGCGTACCATTGACAAAAGCAGTGCCGAGGATCGAATCCGGCGCGACGCCCTCCTCAACCCACCGAACAATGGCCGATAGAACATTGCGCTCAGGCTCGAACCCGGCAACGGCAGACTCCTTGTTGCCGATGAAGCTGGCGCCGGGACCGCCGCTGCAGTGGTTCATGCCCGAGATGCGGAAGTACCGGTAGAAGTCGTCGAGCTGCGCGGACGTGAGGCCCATGGTGCGCGAGACGTGGTTGTAGTAGCGCGCGCTGTTGTCGCTGCTGATGATTGGGTCCTGGAGGCCGTGGTAGTGCAGCACCTTGGTGCCGCGGTCCTTGACGCCGGAGAGGTCGCCCTTCCAGGTCTCGATGCCACCGGGGTTCTGGGCGGCGGCGGCGGCGTAGTCCTTGGGGCCGATGGTGGCCGGGTCCCAGGTCGTGTCGTTGTAGATGACGTTCTGGAACCAATCCGTGGTATAGGGGAACGCGCGGCCGGCGAGCAGAATCTGGGTGGGCTGGCCACCGGGCTGGAGGCGGGGGTAGACGAGAGTTCCATCTTGGCCGTACAGGTCCGAAAAGACGGTGCGGACCGTCTGGGCTTGCACGCCGGTCAAGCAGTTTGCCGTCTGGTTGGCGCCGCAGATGAGAGACTCGGGGCGGTACTGGCACAGATCAGGATCCTCGATGATGCCGTCGACGTGGCCGTCGAGACCGTCGCACTGGTTGAGAAGGTCCTTGTAGACGAGAGTCCAGAGATCAGCCGACAGGAAAGTCGGCTTGTCAGAGGTGCCGGTGGCGGTGAAGAAGTGACCGCTCCAGGATGTCAGGTTGTTGAAGGCGAAGGCGGGCGCACCGGCCACGATACCATCAAAGTCGTCGGGGAAGTCCTGGGCTTCTTTGAAGCCCTGCCTGCCGCCAGTCGAGCAGCCAAGGTAGTACGACTTGGTGTGCTCCTTGCCGTAGAGTGCCTTGGTCGTCTCCTTGCCAATTACGACGCCGGTGTGGAGGGATCGGTAGGCAAAGTCCTCAATGGTGCCGGGGTTGTTGAGGAAGGGCGAGCCAATGGTGCCGTTGTGTCCGTTGTTGGCGCCGACTGCAGCGAAGCCTCGGGAGACGGCGTAGGCGATATCTTCATATTGGATACAACCTCCAGTGCCTCCGTTGCCGGTGCTCAAGAACCGGCCGGTCCAGTTGGAAGGGAGCCAGGCCTCGATACTGACGTTGCTGATGGGTCCAGTGGTGGTCAACATGGACACACGGCAAATGTCGACCTCGACGACCTGCCCAGGGCGGGTGCAAGTCGGGTGGTTCTCTGGGAAGGTAATGTTGGTTCCGGCAGAGACAGGAGTGGAAAACCAGACGGTGGTGTTTGGCAACTTCAAGTTGTTGGCGAGGGCGCTGCAGTCGTCTGCGAAAGCGCTCATGACGTACTGGGCCGCCGGCACCAGCAGCATCGCAGAAAGGTTTAGGGACTTCATGTCGGCGAATGGGCGTTGGATAGGACAAATTCCAAGGTCCATTCGAGGCTGGCGATTCGCTATCCCGATGTGTTGGGACTCAATGGCTTCTTTTATAATGGCAATGGAGTATGTACTTTAGTCGACCTGGTATTCAGAAGTAAAGTAGTCTCCAATGTGACGATGCCAGGCCGTTCATCTCAACACAACCCTGGCAAGAAGACTAGTAGCAAATCGATGCCCACCCTCGGCGATCCCTTCGGGTGGCGTGCCGGTCGGCGTGGAGTGACGGCAGTTAACCACGGCATGACTGGACAAGGCGACCTTTCTGACAAAAGCAAACACTGGGCGGTCTATGCCTGATTCAAGGCGAGCATCTGAGAGAGCTCTGACAGTAATAGAATGAGGCATAGTGACCTGCCTTTTTCTCCCCACACTGGTAGACTACACGTGTTAGCTTGAGGGGATAGCCATGCATCGGCAATGGCGAGTGCGGAGAAGGCGACCAGGTTGGGGTATGCTCTCCGGGGGTTGATCGCGGCGGAAGAGTCTTCTACCGGGCCGCAGGCAGGACTCGTCATCTTCACCTTGTGGCTTTTGCTCATGTGAGCAAGAGCCGTGGCACTTTACTTTACTCTGAAGTGGAAGTTGGACCGCGCGCGGCGAGCAAGGAAGAGAAGACGAATCTAAAGCCAGTCCAACTCTAAAACTGTGATGAAGCTTGTTTGGATAGTGGAGGCGTTTGCTGACGAGAAGAGCGGAGAGTGGAATTAGCGTAGCCTGCGCGATGGGGAAGAAACTGGAGAAGCGCATTTCCCCAGTGTCACTAGATGCAAGGAGACGCTTCTCCACGTGCGGGGAGACGCCGGTTTACCCGGGGGCTGGGTAGTCTGGGCCTTGGAAACCCAACGTTGGTAGCGTTCGTGACGGAGGAGCCAGAAATCGTTCTCCCAAGAGAACGGAAGGTCGCTATCGAGCACCGGGTTGTTGAGTAATCGTACAGATTCACAACTCGAGAAAAGTGTGATATGTGTGTTTCGAGAGCTTCAGAGATCACCGTACGGGTGTTCCCTCGTTGTTTCTCTTGCGGATCCATTCACATTGCCTCTTTGAAAAAGTTTGATGTTTCAAGAGTCAGGACTCTGAACAAAACACGCAAAAATCCGCTGACAGAGGCCCTCAGATCGTTCGAGTCGCGCGGCGGCCCGACAAGCAACACCCATGAACCTGACGGTGCCTCTTTTGTTGCAACCATTTGCGGGAGTCCCTGTAGATCTGACCCTCTCGAACTCCTTGACACTGACAGTTCTCTCCCACGGAATCAATTTGTTTCCTTTTGCTGATTTCTTGCTTATGGATCCTACCTGCATACGCGTCCAGATGGCCTTTACTCCCCTTAATATCGAGAAACGAATGACGTTCAGAGCGGCCTGCCAAAACGAGACGTGTGTGAGGGCTATACCTGCGGCATTATCCTCGGCGTCATCTAATCTTTTTTTTCCATCTACGACGTTGCACACATGACACCTTGGCATTCCCTGAATGAACACTTTTGCATTTCTTCCAACCACGGATCATGAAGTTTTAGACATAACCCGTGCTGGCTTCCCGAAGATTTAGTGCAGAGGGGTATTTGGGGTTTCGGCACGCTGCGTGACTTAGCTGCATGATGTTTTGCGCCCCCAAGAGGGGGGAGTTGAGCCGTGAGGAACGCAATCCGACTGACTCGGAAAACCCGGCGTCCATGTCATGTCCCATTCACAATCTCTCCCATCTGGGGACCCGCCGACCGAAGCCAAGTCGGCGCAGCCGTCGATCATCACTTCCAAGCCATAGCGATAGAGTGAGGCACTTTGTCTCTTTCGGTCCGTTGGTACAAGGGCTATCGCAGACTTTGCACCGCGGGAGATTCCGCCTGCTTGTCAGTCATCCGGTCGAGAGAAGAAATTGACGCTTTGGTCGCCGCTCCGGGCACCACTGTTACGCTCCCTATGGAGACGCGACTGGAGTAGAGTCGTTGATGTTCAGTACACTACGGAGTACAACTACAGCCAAGAGATAATCCGTAGTAAAGCCGCCTACAAATCCGCTGTGTTATGCCCGTACGGATAACCTCCGACTAGATCTCGGACCCGACGACGCGGAGCTAAAGGATGTGTTAGTACTAATCATAGACCCGGCCGGCAACCATGAAGCCGGGTTTCCGCGTTCTATTAGCGCACCCACACAAGCAGTCAGATTAATCGAGCCCGGCGGTCGTAGTCGCTGCCTCCCCCTTCAACCTGACGTCTTGAATCACCCTTTATCGACCAGTAAAAACACGAACACACGTTATAAAGAGCTCAGGACTGTGTGTTATTTTAATGATGCTTTCAGCAGCCAATATAGCGGTCCGAAAGACAATTCGCGCGAAGGTTTCGGACCGAGCCACAGCTCCGCAGTAGCTTTCTTCATCGACTCAATCACTTCCACGCCAGAGAGAAGTCTATGTACTCCCTAGCACCTCGTACTCTTCGCTATTGAGGACCACGGCGAAAATATCGGGCGACAGGTTAAGTAGGTACTTTGAGCCAGGTCATCTTGGGAGTCAGGGTAGCAGTCGGATTGAAGGAAGAACGAAAAGCTTTATTCAAATTCATAGTGAATAGGTCAAATTGAAAGAATTTTTGTATCTCAGCTTTAAAGCCTGGGCCTTGATTCGTGACCCGTCGCCTGTACGGGGAATAGTTTCCCACAAGCCACCTCTGAGATAGTGTCAAGCCCTGCTCCGATCACCACATCATGGACACGAACGTATCAACCACATCAGCCAGCTGGGCAGAGTTTGCGACCCTAAAGCTATCCTCATCGCTTCCTGCGTCCAACTCTAGCCTCTATTGGCTAGCTTTACTCGTGATAGCTTCAGTCATTGCAGCACCTCTTCGACACAAGTTTCAAGATGTCGAGATCTACCCAGTCATCAACAAGACCAAAGAGGAATACCTGACTGGCGGGAGAGCCCTCCTCGCCAAGGGAGCCAAGAAATATGGCGGCAAGCCGTTCAGGGTCTTCACCGGGCAGGGCAGCACCCTCACGGTCCTGGCGCCTGAGTTCTGCTACGACGTGAAGAATGACAACCGCTTGTCCTCGACCGAGTTCCTCCTGGCCTACTGGCAGGCTGGGACACCGGGGTTTGAGCCGTACTTTAGCTCAGGAAGCGAGCTCATACGTGAGATGATCCGAACTCATCTCACTCAGAGTGATGTTGGTAAGTCTTGAGAACCCGGCCAGTCTCACACTTTGCTCATCTTGACTGCGCAGCCAAGTTATCACAACCGCTCGCAGACGAAGCAGCCAGCGCTCTGAAAGACGTCTTCACCGACAACGAAGGTACACTACGCCACCCGTTGATCTCACCACCCTCACTATGACACTGAAGCCTGTCTAACACCGTTCTCAGAATGGCACGAAATCACCCTTGCCCCAACAATCGCCCAAATCGTCGCCCGCGTCTCCGCCCTAGTCTTCCTTGGCCCCGAACTCTGCCGGGACCCAAGCTGGCTCACCATCACGATAAACTATCCCCAAAAAGCCATGGCCGCCGCCAAAGTCCTCCGCTCCTACCCGGCCCCCGTCCGCCGCTTCGTGCACTGGTTCCTCCCCTGCTGCCGTGAGCTGCGCCAGATGCTCCGCACCGCGCGGCAGGCCATCGAGCCGATCCTGCAGAAGCGGCGGGAGCAGGAGACCGAGAAGGGTGGCGTGGTATTTGATAACGCGTTGGCGTGGATCGAGAAGCTGGCGAGGAAGCAGCAAGATCGCACGGCGCAGAATGCGGCGTTTCAGCAGCTGGGGTTGTCGATTCTTGCGAATGCTTCGAGTACGGATATGGTGTCGCAGAATTTGCTGGATTTGTGCGTGAATCCGGAGGTGATGGGGGCGTTGAGGGAGGAGATTGTGAGGGAGACGAGGGGTGGGTGGAAGAGCTCGACGTTGTACAATCTGAGGCTGTTGGACAGTGTGCTGAAGGAGACGTTGCGTCTCAAGCCCATCGCTTCGGGTTTGTCTCATAATTCTACACCATTGCTCGTTTGCTAATATCTCGATAGTGGCTCTCGGAAGGCGCGTGATGGAAGATGACGTGAAGCTAAGCGACGGCACCGTGCTGCCCAAGACGACCGGCGTTGCCGTATCCTCGGCGAACATGTGGGATCCCGTAAGACATTCCATCTCTTGCCAACCCTCCCTGACAACCTGATGGCTAATTTTCTCTAACGCAGGAGATCTATCCAAACCCAGAATCCTTTGACGGCCGACGCTTCCTTCGGATGCGCGAGGGCGGCAATAACGAGCATAACGCGCAGCTCGCGAGCGTGTCGCCGGAGCACATGGGCTTCGGACTCGGCTCGCACGCATGCCCAGGTCGTTTCTTTGGCGCCAGTTCCGCGAAGTTGATCATGTCGCACATCTTGCTAGGGTACGACTTCAAGCTGGCTGATGATGTGGATAAGAGTACAGTTGAGCCCATGCGCTTTGGGTTCTCTACTTTGGCCAATCCTAGGGCAAAAGTCCTGATCAGACGTAGAAAAGATGTTGTTCGAGACGATCGAGGGAATAACGACTATGCTTAGGTACTTGGGCTTCATGGTCCAGATGCGCGGTTTGGAAGGCAATACGGCAACATCACGAGTCTGCAGGAGCTATTTTTGACCAGGGATGATGAAAAAAGTTTGGTCTGGTCAAGAGTCTCACCCCAGCCTGAAGCTATCGTATGATGAGACACAAAAAGGCGATTCTTCGCCGAGAACACCCAAATCAGCTTGATCATAGAAGCGACTCCTCATGAAAAGCATGTGCGATATCAAGAAACCCGGGACTTCGGCTCGAAGAACAGCGATGCGAAAGCGAGAAACTTCTCGTCAACAAGCTTCATTTTTGGGTAGCACTGATACCACGTAGCCAAGCAAGATATATCGTTTACCAAATTGATCGCGGAGCCTCTGAGCAGTCAAATCCCCAAGAACGGGAATCTCCGCCCAAGCGATTGGCGGAAGAAGTTTCCGCGGTGAGGGTCGCATGGCGGGGTTGGCTCGAGAAGCTCAACCCATCATCAGAGGTGGTCGGTTTTGCTGCTTCGTAGCAATACCTCATCTTCTTGAACACGACTACAAACCCGAAAATGTGCCATCTTTCTGAGCAGGCTTCCGGAAGATACGTCCGAATAGGATTGACTAACGTATGTAAAGGGACCGAGGCCCGCTCCCCCCGATGAAGGAGCAGGGAGGGGCAGCCGCGTCTCTGGCCTTGACCACAAACATGTTCTCTGTACACGAGGGATGATCGACGGAAGGGTAGGGCAGAATCAGGGACGAAAGCTTGATAGCTGTAATTGTACAGCAATGAAGCCCTATAGACAAAAACAGTGGTACGGATGCGGCCGAGAAGTGGCGGGGGATGGGCAAGCCTGATTGACGCGATGTCACTT